AATAATTGAATTTATTTTTGAATGTTACCGTTAAACCTTTTAAAGTAACACACAATTCTAAACATAATTATTGCACTCATCTTTAAAGATGACATTAAAAAAATGCTCCTTCCAACCATTCAATAACATCATGCTAGTCCGCCATGTACAATTTCAGCTCGATTTCTGCGATGCATTAGGTTTATCAATCTCTTGATCCGAGCTATATGAATATTCTTAGACATTTTAAGCGCCTATTTTTCAGATATTGAAGTCGAATAAACCCTTTGACTTCTGGTCATTCATGCTTATGAAACGCATGAGCCAGATGAGTCGTTATATGATGCATATTTGCATTTAAAACTCTTCTTTACGTTTATTTTGAGAATTTTCAACAAAAGCAATGAAAATGCTTGTTTCAGTCATTTGAGAAAATATGGACAACAATTTGGGAAAAGAAAGAAGGATATTTTTGAAGGATATTAGTGCAATACTATAATTAACAGTTGCAAACCCTAGAAACCCCCGATTATTATCAAATATTTTATTTAAAACAGTAAAAGAAAACAAAATCAAAAATTTAATTTCTGTAAAGAGGGTTCAAAATCAGCTTCGGGTAAAGGAATGAAAATCATTCAGCAGTGGAATTGCTGATTTTGTATGTTCCTCTGACTCTTTGTATGTGAACACTGTTCTCCCTACGTCTTACTTCATGTGGTCGTCCCTCATCCTATAACTATATTGGTGTCTGTTTTCATCCCTCTCCAAGTCTCCATACTGCTCACTGCTGAGTTCATGTAATACAGTACACCATCTGTTGTGGTGCATGCAATGCCATCTTCCCATCAAAAACCTTCTCAAATCTGGGATTTCTCTGAGGATTCCTTGACTTCATTCTGCTTGTTTCTGAGTGACCTTGATATGAATTTGAAATTGGAAATACATTGTGCACAGTACTAGTAATTCCTTCATAATCTTGATCTTCAAATATTTGTCTCAAAAATTTTGAAACAAATATGTCTCTGGGAGGAACATCATAAATCTGGTTTTCAAATTGTATCCTAGAATGTGTACTCCCCATTAGTCCTGTTGAGTGGATAGGTCCAGATATTAGATATCCAACCTTTGATTCGACTGCAGTGGGTCCATTTCCTCTGATGATTTTGTCCCCAACTATATTCCAATAGTAGTCCGCACCAATGAGCATTGAAATATTGAACTGTTCCTCTGCTAACTGGGTGTGCCAATTTAAATCCTTTAAGGTATGTGAGTTCCTTAACATTGACACGTGATCTGTTTGAGATTGGAGCTGCAATCTTTGGAATAATGATGACCTCCATTGGAATTTTGTCTCCAGCTGTACCGTTGCTTTCTCAAGATGACAAATTTCACCACTCGTGTCTCCAAATGCTGAAATTCTCAGGCTAAGGGATCCATTTGATACAACATCAAGTTTCTGTCCTAGCTCCTCAGTAATGAATGAATTTTGAGCCCATTCATCAAGCAATATATTACAGCTGATTTCTTGATTTCCATACCAAATTTGTGTCACAGCAGTTTTCAGCAGCATTTCAGTGCCGGCTGTCACCTGTGTTGAAAAATGAAGCTGGAATGACTGCTCTCGTTGATGTGGTTGAGACGATTGTGTGCTCTCTGACTTTGTGACAGCTATCTCTAGGAACTTCTAGGTAATTACGAATTGCAGATACTTGTGTGATGAGACTTCTTGCAATTCCTGCATTTGAAATTTGATTGACATTCATTTGCTTCGTGATTTCCGAAGCAATTGAAGCAGACTCTCTGTTTGATGATTGACATTCTCTTATCATAGTCTTGGACATTATGGCAATTGATTGGTGAATGATTTCCACTGCAGAATAAGCATTGCTTCAAATAATTTTCCTGCTTGTTGCTCCTTTCATGACTCGACCCCGCAACAAAGTTAGCTGTTGGAATGAATTCATGGGTTTCCTGTTTTGATTGCACTGCCTGTCCAGCATCTTGAACACATAGCTCCTTCTTAATGGCTCTCCTCAGTGAATGCAGTTCCCATTGATCATCTCCTTTGTCCCTGGTAATGTTTTCCGAATTTCTGATGGTAGTTTGTTATATAACATTGGAGTTAAAATTGTCCCATAGGTGGTTTCATCAGTTCCTAGAGCTTCTAATGCTCTAATGCAGCACTCCATTTTGTTGAAGACGTTTCTCAAACTGTCAGGATTAAAATTTGGGACTGTTATGTCAATTAAACTTTGGATATGGGCTTTGATGATTTAGTTATTTTGTCCGTATCTTTCAAATAAAACATCTATTACTTGTCTGTAGTTGGTATTGGTCAAACTGAATCCTGACACAATACGAAGGGCTTCCCCACATAGCAGCGATCGTAGATAGCTAAACTTTTCAACATTAGACAAACTGATGTTCCCATGGATGCTTGTCTCAAAACATTCCCAAAATGTTGGCCACTCACGTAAATCTCCAGAAAAAAATCGGCAGGTTTAATTTAGGCAGTTTATGACTATGAATGTTAGGTTTTCCTTTGTTGGGTTCAAATGATTCACTGCTAGGAAAGAACTGTGGTGCATTTACATTTAAATTCCTTGATGTACATTTATTAAGATTCTCAGAAGCCTTTCTATTCTTTGTCAATTCTGCTAATTTTAGTCTTAAATCTAGCATGTACTCATCTGAATCTTCAATCTCCATTTGAATCTCTTTTTCCTTCTCTAGTTCTTGTAGAATTTCATTGTTGATTTTCTCTGATATGCCCCACTTCTCCTCCAGTACCTTGATCATTTCAGCTTTTCCATTTTCATCTTCATTTTCAGAAATTCTCCTAAAAATTTTGGTTATAACTCAACGATGACCTGAGCGCTGTGCCTTTAACTTGATTACATCCATTTCTATTGTGGTTTGCTATTACTTTCCCAATGGTCACGGCACCAAATGTTGAGTCAGATAGAATGAAAAACACTTCTAATCACGTTGACTTGTTTATGTTGACTGATCATTTAAAACACTGGAAAACATTGACGTTACCATGTCGTAATTAAGATGGCGTCATAATAGAATATTTACTTAATGTCACATGCACTTTAACGTCTTATAGGAAGGTTATTATCAACAGGTCTACCCAGTAGTCATAGCCCCATCCACTCAAAAGTTATCGCCAAGGTTATAGTTTTTGCGGTCAAACAGAGATACAGACAAACAAACAAAACAGAAACAAATAATCTAGAATCTTTGAGTACATGTACTTAAAAAGCCATTGAAAGTTTCTTTTTCTTTCTTCGAAGCAAAATACGATGTACACAACGTAGTTTTCAACATAAATTACTTTTCTACCTGTTTAAACTTTAATTTCTTATTCATTCCATAATAAAAAGTTTCGATCATCGAAGGATTATTATACAATTTAATGAATCTTTCAAGGTAATAATGTACATCTCCTCTAAATCAATTTTTTGACAATACAAGCTAAAACTCATAAAAACTACCAGTATATTCATGTTGATTTTTTTTAAAGAAAAATACTGGGATTTTCATTCTTTCATTTTTTCTGATGAAAACTCCTGGTATTGTATACTGATAATTTTCTAAGAACATCTTATGATAAGTTCTACAGAGTGTTTCACAATATATGTCACGCATTTAAAGACAGATAGATAAATGATAACAAAAGTAAATGAATAAATATAATAAATAAATAAATAAATAAATAAATAAATAAATAAATAAATAAATAAATAAATATTTTGTATATAATATAAATCATATACTCAAAATAATTTTTTGAGTCAGAAGTATCCAGCATTCTCCGCTTCAGTTACTATGGCAACAAATCCTTAAATGTTAATCTCCAAGTGCTTTTTCCAACATTGTCCCAAATGACTAATGCCTTAGAATTTTCTGCAGGACCACTGTTTTGTAAGTTGAACATGATACTTGACACTTTTCTTGATTTATATCTGGCCTTTTAGAACCCCCAAAGTGCATATCTATTTTTATTAAAGTTGCATTAAAATAAATGTCATATCAGAACTACCAGTGTTTGTTAATTGGTGTCCACTTCTTTCGCTCTTCCTTTCAATCCATCTAGCAAACTTTAACAGGCTATGAACGTCAACTGGTTTTAATGCTGAAATCTTGTATGCACACACACTTAACTCAAATTTAAGATTTCTAAATACAATGTACACTTGATAAACTTACTGACATTGTTACAATCCATTTCTCTAAACTTAGTGATTGACTTCACTTTGATAGTGTTCTCACATCTTTACATTATAATTAAGTTTAAATATTCTAATTTTTCTTAATATATGAAAACTAAACAGCAGTTTTTGGTCTGGATATTTTTCATCATCACACATTGTACAATATTTAGCATATCGTTCTTATAATAAAAGTTTTCCAAAACGTTTTGCTGCATGTTGAGAACAGCTGCAATATATGCCATCACAGATTATATTATCAGTTTCTTCATGGTATATTATGCTATTTACATATATTGTGAAACATCCTGTATGATTTAAAATCGAGAACATCTTAGAAAATTTTCAGTAAGAAAGGCACATTGTACAGTTTGTGTACGTATAATTGTGCGTTGTGTATGTCCTTCAGAATTGTCATTATAAGCATTAAAAAAAAGATCTGCAGTAAGCGTAATCAAATATTGATAGCAATCCTGTTTCTCTATCTCATCCTAATAATATAACGTATTTATCTTAGCTACTGTAGATCAATGTAAAACTACTAAAACTATTGCTAAAATAATACTTGCGTTCAAATCTGAATCTCACTCCAAATTCTTAAACCCACCTCCATTACTAAGCGGAAAGTTAACTTCCGGGGATATTTCAAAGTGGTGAGTAAAAGGAGAAAACAAAAAAAAAAAAAAAAAAAAAAAAAAAAAAAAAAAAAAAAAAAAAAAAAAAAAAAAAGAAAAATTCTCATTCGGGTGCGCTATATCTGCTCAGTAGATTGGTTTGCGTGATGGGTGTTTTAATACATTCTTTAAAAAATTGACTAAATATTTAGTACAACCCTAAATTCCATCTTAAATTCTTAAGTTCACCTCTCTTACTATGCACTAGACTGGCATTTCCTGTCTCATTAACGTATATTGCAGATATCACACAGGCAAGCCAGTTTAATTATGTACAATACTAAATCGAAAGTCAAACTTTCAGGGATATTTCAAAGTGGCTGATCAAAGAAGAAAAGAACACAATAATTTAAACAGCAAATAATCAGGAAAAAAATTGCTGATTGGGGTGAGTTATGTCTGCTGTTAAGATATTGCTGCTAAGGAGATTGCGGGAATTGGGCATAAATGAATTTTTTTGAGAGAGAAATCGAGTAAACGTTAAAATAATTATACTGCATAAATCCAACAGGTCAACTTAACCTTCCAGGAGGAAGATGGCGACTTCCACCACTTGGGCACAGGACGTTATCACGTGTGATCTTTGTGACAACCCCGCCCAGCAATTCTGTAACAGCTGTCAGGTCAGTTTGTGTGGGGGCTGTATTAATAAACATGTAGAAAGTATGAAGTCTCAAACGCATGACATTGTTCCTTTCAAAGACAGAAGAGAACGGCTCGTATTCTCCTCATGTGCTTCTCATCCAAACCAGAAATGTGAGGGATTTTGCAAAAAATGCGATGAACCTGTTTGCTTCAATTGTGTCACGGGTCCTCATATCGGCCATATTGTCAAAAACGTGACAGAAATTGTACAAAATATGAAAGAAGAAATCAAGAAAGAAACAGAAGAGATCGAGTTTATTATTTTAAGATTTGCCCAGAGTGTAGAAAACATTGATCAGAAGGTAACTAACATGACTGAAAAATTTAATGCAATGGAGAGCGAGGGAGAAAATCTTAGAAAATCCTGGCATGAAGAAATAGACAAAATTTTCGACACACTACAATCAACCATTAGGAAAATGAAGGATAGAAGACTCAAAGCTCTCAAATCACATCAGTCCCGGCTTCAGGATTCGGGGACAAAATTAAAACGTGTAGCAAAAGAAAACAAGAAAATCCTTAAGTCCACTAAAGTCTCTGATATTACAAGCCACAAATCAGACCTTAAGAAATTCAGGGACATTCCTACAGATGTTGATGTGAAGATTCCTTCCCTAAACAGCAACACGGTCCAGGGGAGAGAACTCAGCATAGAATTAGGAGAATTCAAGGCTACACTGACACAGACATCCATATCAAGTCTGACAGATGAAGTCTCCATTTTATATGTAAGAAAATTATTGGACAATGCTCAAGTTATTGCTAGCATTCCTTCAAAAATAAAACCTTTAGGTGCCATTATTTGTATTGGAATCAATGAAGCTTGGGCTCAAGGTGAAGACAATATCATTAGACGTATTGACATACATGGATCTCTGAAGGAAAAGATCACCACTGAAGGTCAATCTAATCCTGCAGACATTTCAGTGACCAGGCAGGGAGAACTGATTTACAGTGATCACCACAACCACAACAGAAAAGTTAACATCGTCAGACAGGGGAGGATAGAAACACTGATCACTCTACCTCAGGGATGGCATCCAGATGGATTGTGCTGTACTAAATCAGGAGATTTACTAGTTAGTATGACTACTTCTGATGATAGTCAAACAAAATAGTTCGCTATCAGGGACAGAAGGCAGTACAAGGAACAGACAAAGATGACCATGGACAAAATATATTTAAAGGTGGAGAATCAGGAGTGTTTTTGGAGGAGAATAATAATGGAGACATATGTGCCTCTGATATAAATGCCAAGACGGTTACACTGATAGACAAGACAGGAAGAGTCCGATTCCGTTATGACGGTACACCAGCGAAGAGGAATAAAGCTTTCCAACCTATGTACATTACTACAGATTCACTGTGCCATATCATTATTACTGATATAAATAATGACTGTCTTCATATCCTAGATCAGAATGGACAGTTTATCAGATGTGTTGACAATTGTAGACTTAATTCTCCTGCTGGACTGAGTGTGCACAGGGAGGGGAGGTTATGGACAGGGTGTTTTATATCAGGTGATATAAAAGTGATCAAGTACTTGGAATAAAAGAAACATCTAGTGCAATACGTGTATATATATCTAAGTGTTACTTTTTGAAGAATGTAAGAAGGCTTATTGTCTACAGCCTTAAATAATAAAAATCAAATTCAATTTATGAACTAAGGATTAATAGCCAAGGTATTATTATTAGAAGGTAATTAATTGTAATAAATGAAAATTTCCCTTGAAGAATTATTTTATGGTAAAAAACTGTTTGGCAGATTTCTCATGGATTAAATCCAACCATGGTAATCTTGAGTATCATTCTTTTTAAAGAATCTTGATAGAAAATTTTACTCTTGAAACAACGGAAATATATAGCAGGCAGGGAATATGTGAATTGTTATAATTTATGCGCATATACATTTTTCAAGGAATGAGGTTGCTCATTACTACCTTAATGTAAAAAATAATATGCCCCAATATATTTTTGGTTTTACTTCCTCCCTCTTTTCACTTTCCCATCTTTCTTTTCTCCTCGTCTATAATTAAACCACTTTCACGTAAATGTATGTTTATACATGTACAAGTTTTAAATGTTTATATACGTATGAGCTCTTTTGTGTTACTTATGGAAGGCATTTGCGTGAAGATAGATGTATAAATTTACAACACTTTATATGCCTATTTGATATAGATGTGAAATAACCATTCTAAAAAAGAAAATTAAAGAGGCCAGTATCTTAACTACTGAATCACACATTCTATTACAGTTTGTAGTATTGTAATATTGTTTGTAACATGACACTTGAATCAATGGACTTCAAATATTACTCGTAAAGATATGATAATTGTTCATAAATGTTTATTTTAAGATAAAGTGAGTCGTCGTTTACTGAAATATGTTTATTTTGTTTCATATTTAATTTATTTACTTTAAAATGAACCACTCATTTAAAATTAAGACCTTTATTTTACCTCTTTTGTGTTTTCATGTTTTGTTAGACAAGTAAATTCAATATATGTGAGATTGTTTAAAATTAATCTATTGTTTTTGAATTAAAAAAACATACTTACCCTCTCTTGTGTGTGCATGCTATTTCATAGACAAATAAATTCAATTTTGTATTCTTATTTACTGTTACTATCCTGAGAATGACATGTGTAACAGCATCAAGTAGAAGAGACCTCAGGACTATATATATAATACCACAAAACAATTTCAGTGGAACTTCAGAGATAAAAGCTGAGAATGCGATAGTCGGGAAGGAGAGTTAAGAGAGGATGAATGGAATTCGGCTCTCTGCTCAAGAAAGCACTGGAATTACATGAAGTGCCATCCTTAGAAAAATATTTGTTGCGCACAAAAAATGTCCTTGGTTCTGGATTCTTTATTTCTCCCAATTTTTTCCAAAACAGCCTAAAAGTTCTCAAACATAGACTTCTATCAATGAATCGTGTACATAAAGTTAGTATTTGTAGGAAATGCGATCGACTCGCCTTCACCCAAAGTGGCAGAATAATTTTCACTGGACTCAATTTCAGGCCAAGAATGCCTGTAATCAACTGTTGGGGGGGGGGGGTATAAAAAGGAAATAAGTCTCAAAGGGAAAACACTAAGAAAAAAAAAGAACTGTTACGATGGTTCCGTCAGGAAAGCGCTCGCTTTGTGTTAGAATCTCGGCTGGGCCTGACCAAAGTTGATAAAAATATAGGTTTCAACTCCCTTCTCCGTGCGCTCGGCACTTTGAAATAGAAGGCGGGGGTCCTTCGGATGAGACCTTAAAAACGGCCCCGTGTCACGGCAGGCCTTGGCACAATAAAGATCCTCACAGCTGACTGCTCAATAATTCTCAATGCCAAGCATAGTTAATAATTGAAGCAATTCACCGGTATATATGAAGACATCTCCATGTGAGTGAAAATTCTCGAATGGGACGTAAATCAGCATACTATCAATCAGTTAAAATGATTATGGATGGGGTGATCTTTACCAGACTATTATTTATGTTGTTCAAAAGGACTTTTTACAGCATTTGGGAGTTTAAATTTGCTATCACAATACTACATGCATATGTAGTACCGCAAAAAGGTAATTATTGACCTGGCCGTGATTTTACTGTATACCGTCTCCTTTGTTAAGTACTATCATATACTTTATATGCATGTATAACTATGCATTTTCAGCTCATGGGATAGGAAAATGTTATTCCAAAAAATTCGTAATAAATAAAAAGGATTTTTTTGGGGGGGGGTGCGTTTAAATGCAATAGTACGCAACCCGCACGAATTCCTTCCGGGGCCAAATGTCTAAAAGAAGGAGCTTGATAGATGTATTTGATTTTAAATACGTATTTTTTGTTTATTTTTAAGAAAAATCCTCCTTAAATGATTCGTAATTAACTGAGTATAAGTTTTGCAAAACTTTAAAAAATTCTATCTAATGATATAAGTGTTTGGACTGTCTAAAGTTAATTTTAATAATGTCTTAGTTTAAGACTGTTTACAAATTTAGAATAAACCCATTACTGAATAATCTGCTTTCATTAAAACTAGCCTGAGTACTTTAGCATGTCAAAACCATTTCACAGCGAAATGCATGTCAAGTATATTTTAGATTGCAGAGGACTACATCGATCTTAAGTTGTACAAGTATTTGCACACTGTTAATAGTAAAAGCGTAAAGCATTCTGACATGCGATTATGTGTTCGAGTAAATGTTAAATATTCTGTTATTAAAGTTTAAATGCAATCATTTCTATGTAATATAAAATTAAGGTATATAGTCGATAAAGCAAAGTTTAGAACACCTGCAGAACATGCCTTCCACTCGTTAGACTGGTACATATTAAAATAAAGTGTGTGAAAAGCTGAGATATTTCGGATTTGGACAAGGTGTAGAGGTTATGGGTAGTGTTGTGTAAAAGTAATCAAATGTGTGAATAAAAATCAAAAATATATGTACACTGACCACTGTGTTTATCTTCTTACGTGAGGTGCAGGTAAATGAAATTCCAAAAAGGGGGCAATTCTTGCTCATAGACGCACGAGTGGTTATCAAAAAGTTCGTGGACTAGCGCCATAAAATTAAAACCGCTTTAGTTACATCGGTGAATTTTAAAATATCTATTCATCTAAAGAATAAACCATGAATAATAAATTTTAATTTTCAATAACTTAGTAATGATTTTGTAAGCAATGGCTTTCCAGTCGGCGAAACCTCCAACACGACGTTTTTGCGACTTATGTGTGACTGAAACAAAATATTTTTGATATATATATAAAAATCCTAATTAATTCAGGTGTGTTTTGGACACACTTGCTTCATAAGATATGACATTTTTACTTTATTCTTGAAATTCTATGAAATTTTACCGTGAAGAACTATATGCGGTATATTGCATATATTTGCCCCCACAAAAGTCAAATTTTGAAAAATTCTTGAAATGTGCTGAATTCCATAAATTGTATAAAAAATATGAATTAACAGAACATATTATAGTTCCAAAGTAGTTTATTGATTATTTTTGTTTTTATGACGTCACAAACTCTTCCGATTTTATATCATTTTTTACAGAAAGGGCAGAAATAGAGAAATTTTCGACAATTTTAGCTATAGAATTTATAGAGCGCAAGTTTGCTGAGGAACGATATTAACATATTTCATTGATATTATCATACTACACACTATATCAAAATATTGAGCCTGATCAGACCTGCGCTCTCTGATTTTTTCTCAAAATATCGAGTAATATATACAATTTTCTGTAGAAATCATGAAAATTTTAAACTTACGTTATTTTCGTGACGTCATTTCAAGCATATGACGTCATTGCTGATGAAAATATTCATTACTTTGAAGTCAGCATATATCCCCCTGTTTTGGAACATAATTAAAATATTCTCCGTCAAGTTTGATTGGGGGGGGGGGGATTGGTTATCACCGAATAAAGTCCTTTTACATGAAATGCCTAAACAAATAAGGCCTTGAAAATGACTTCAAGAGGGGGGAGGGGTTTCCTTTTCCAACATTCTATAAGATTTTGCCCTTGAAAAACTGGTATAGACCTAAGAAATGTTTAAACTGGCTACAAAGAAATAAATTTCAGCATTCAGAGCACTTGTGTTTTAATGCCTAAATAGATTCGGAATGAAAAGGGATGTACAGTTAATGTCGATTTGTAGTCAAGGTATGAAAAAGTCAATCACGTCAATAAATGACGTTGATCATGAGTTGTTGATATTGGACTACCAAAAGCAAAATATGTACAATCAAGCGAGAATCTCTTCCAATGTATATATCCAATTGGAATATTCTATTCATTGATAGCCGCTGTTCATGACATTGTAAAGCGACCGCGCTGGATGATCATATAGTGTCGTTTTAATTTTATAATAATTTGGCAATTAATGAACGTATCAAAGCAAAATTTTCAACATTTCTTTATTTTTTGTTGTTTTATGTTCCTATAAAATTTGAAGGCACAGACTACATAGTTCCAAGTTTATAGCCCCAGTCCACGAAATTTTTGATACCCCCCCCCCCCCCTCATAGTGAGTGTTTTAAATTTTTATATTTTAAAATTTTATATAATGTACTAATTACAAATGTAGACCCACGCTCAAAGGAACTGCTATCTACTGACATATGTACTGTGGTACCTACTATAATAGCTATTGGCAGACTTTCTCTCAGTAATCCGTAATGCATTGAATTAAGACTTATCATAATATGAAGGATATGGAGATAACGAACAGATTCAATCTCAAAGTCCATAAAACAATACAAAATAAGAGCAGAGCAACACGAACCCCGAAACATCAGAGGTGGGATCAGGTGCCATGGAGGAGTGGGCATCCCCTACCGACTGGTCACACCCGCCGTGTGCTCCTTGTCATGATCAGGAAATAACGGGAAAAAATCCGTCGTCAATTTAGTGTATAAATAATGGACTAATAATTTGTATGAAAAACGTCAGTCAGCATTTGACTCAATGATAAATAGTATTTGCTGACAAGGTCATTGTATCGACCATAGAACTTACGAAATGATGACTTTAAACGAGACTGCTGATATTCTTGTTTCATCAACTTGCTGTCAATAATTTACCTCGTTTTAGAAATTGTTAATACATATAGCATTCTCTTGCCCATCGAATCAACAGAGATATATATACTCCGTATGCAGGTGATGAAGGTATATTGCTGCATACGTAAGGGAAGTTGACGATAGAAAAGTTAAAGTCATCACCTTTATCATATAGCTTAGTTGTTAGATTACCATTTGTGTCTTTTTCGAGTAAAATATCCAAGTATGAAACAGAAGTGTCAGACGTACATAAATGACGATTTGACCATTCATCATTAAGCATGGAGAAATATTCGTCATATACAGTTTTCTTCCATTAGTCATCTATAAAATATAACATATTTAGCTTAGCTACGGTACTGCACATTAAAAGTGGCCCTTAAACTTTAAAATTTTCATAGCGTTTAAGTTTGAATCCCCCTCTTAAAATCGCAAATCCACCTCTGGTTGCTATGGCCAACACTAAAACGAAAGTTAAACTTCCGGAAGTATTTCAAAGGTTAGGTTAGAGGAGAAAAGAACGAAATAATTAAACAGGTAATGATAAAAAAAAATGCTTTTGCGGTCAGTTACAACTGCTTTTAATATATCCACAGAAAGATGGAATTGAAGAGGAAGGGGGTGGGGGTGTCAATGTTTTTTGAAAGAACCTCTGGTTACTATGGCCAACACTAAAACGAAAGTTAAACTTCCGGATGCACTAGTATTTTAAAGGGTAGGTTAAAGGAGAAAAGAGCGAAATAACGTAAACAGGTAATGATAAAAAATTGCTTTTCTGGTCCTTTACAACTGCTCTAATTACACCTACAGAAATGGGAAATTGAGAAGGGAGTCAATGGATTCTTTGAAAGAGTCATTAATTCCAAAATTAGTGTATAATTGTATTACGTAAGTCCAACATGTTAATTTTTTTGTAGAAGGAAGATGGCGACTTCGTCTACTTGGGCACAGGACGTGATCACGTGTGATCTTTGTGACAACCCCACCCAGCAGTTCTGTAACAGCTGCCAGTTCGGTTTGTGTGGGAGCTGTATAAATAAACATGTAGAAAGTCTAAAGTCTCTAACGCATGACATTGTTCCTTTCAAAGACAGAAAAGAACGGCTTGTATTCTCCACATGTACGTCTCATCCAAACCAGAAATGTGAGGGACATTGCCAACAATGTGATGTCCCCGTCTGCTTCAGATGTGTCACAGGTCCCCACAGGCCCCATACCATCATAGATATGTCAGACATTGTACAACAGATGAAAGAATAAATTGAGAAAGAAACAGAAGAAATTGAGTCTTTTATTTCAAGATTCGCCCTAAGTGGAGCAGACATTGATCAGAAGATATCTATCTTGACTGAAAAATTTAAAACAATGGAGAGAGAGGGAGAAAATCTGAGAAAATCCTGGCATGAAGAAGTAGACAACATTTTCAACTCACTACAATCAAGCATTAGGAAAATGAAGGATAGAAGACTCTCAGCTCTCAGCTCACACCAGTCAATACTTCAGGATTCAGGGTCAAAATTAGCACGGATAACAAAAGAAAACAAGAAAATCCTCAAGTCAAATAAAGTTTCTGATGTTGCAAGCTACAAATCAGAACTAAAGAATTTCAGAGACATTCCTACAGATGTTGATGTGAAGATTCCTTCTTTAAACAGCAACACAGTCCAGGGGAGAGAACTCAGCATAGAAGTAGGAGAATACAAGGCTACACTGACACAGACATCACTATGCAGTCTAACAGATGAAGTCTCCATTTTATCTGTGAGAAAATTATTGGACAAAGCCAAAGTTATTGCAAGCATTCCTTCAGGAATAAAGCCTTTAAGTGCCATTATCTGTCTTGGAACCAATGAAGCTTGGTTTCACAGTGAAGACAAATTCATTAGACGTATTGACGGACGTGGGTCTTTGAAGGAAAAGATCAACACCAAATGTGAACCTTATCCAGGTGACATATCAGTGACCAGGCAGGGAGAACTGATTTACAGTGATTACTACAGCAGAACAGTGAACATTGTTAGACAGGGGAGGATAGAGACACTGATGACTCTACCTCAGGGATGGGTTCCACAGGGACTGTGTTGTACCAGATCAGGAGACTTATTAGTTAGTATGTGTACCCTTGATGGAAGTCATTACAAAATAGTCTGCTATCAGGGACAGGCAGCAACACAAGAAATAGATAAAAATGACCATGGGCAAAATATATTTAAAGGTGGAGAATCAGGGGTTTATTTAGAGGAAAATTACAATGGAGAAATTTGTGCCTCTGATATGGATTCTGATACAGTGATAGTGATGAACAAGACAGGAAATGTTCAATTTTTTTATGATGGTACACCAGCAAAGAGGAACAATTCATTCCAACCTATCTACATTGCTACAAATTCACTGTGCCAGATCATTATTTCTGATAATAAAAATGACTGTCTTCATATCTTACATCAGAATGGAGAGTTTCTAAGATGCATTGACAACTGTGAATTTCTGAGACCTACTGGGCTGAGTGTGGACAGTGAGGGGAGGTTGTGGGTAGGGTGTCAAGAATCAGGTGAAATAAAAGTGATCCAGTACATGGAGTAAAAGAATCACCCATTGTTATACAAGACTGTTTAGATACAAGTGCTACTTTGTAAAGAAGGTGCGCATGAGAATAGATGGCCTACAGCTTTAAGTGTATAAAAACCAAACTTAATTAACGAATTAAGTACTAATTTTCATAGCAAAGTTCTTAATACTATTAAAAATTATGAACTTATAACACACTTTTGAAGGATACTTTCCTTTTTATATATTACTAGTATTTTATGTTAAAAAAAGTATTGCAGATTCCTTATGAATTCAACCTAAGCCATGAAATTCTTTGTTTCATATGTTTATACGGCTGACAGTATAACCACCCCACCAAACAACATGTATCAAATAGTTTTATGTGCTATGACTCTTGAATAATTGGAATTCAAACGTTAGGAAAATTGGTTGATAAATGATTTATTTTTAGGAATTCTGTCCTTGTATACTAAAGAATGTATATATTGTTTGCAGATTTTGAACACATACTGTAAAACAACTTTTATTCGCAACGACTTTATTTCGCGATTTACGAGGGGTAAACTACTTCGCGACGGTTAATTTTAACGATTAAGCCTTTTTGGATCTGTTATTAATAGACACAGACACCAAAAGTACCATTTTGCGTAGAGAATTATTCGCGATTACGGGGCTCTCGCGAACTTCGCGAAAATTTCTAGCACGCGAATAAAAGTTGGTTTACAGTTCTTCAAAAATACTTATTCACTCAAAACAAAATTGTCATTGAATTGAAAAGGCTATATTTGCCATCTTTTGTATGGTATGTACATGTCATTTCATAGACAAATAAATTCAATATTTTTGAGATTGTTTTAAATTGTATCTTTGATACTGTGACTTATCTCGAGAAAGGACCGGACATAAGTGAAATTAGTTTTCCACACTTTTCGTTAACAAGATTTAGGCATAGAGGAGGAAGCGCCTGATTGATTGAATGTTTATTGTTTAACGTCCTCTCTCGATAAATTTTCACTCATATGGCGACGCCACCACTTGCCGGTGGAGCGCTACAAATTTTATCCTATATCAGTGACTCAAGGCATTTGAGCAGGGAGAGATCTTTTTCGTGCCAGTACCTACTACCCCTCACAGTGGGAGTCGAACCCGCGACGTAAGGATCAATTCCTTACTTTGCGACTCTAGATCAGACGCTCTAACCACTGCGCCACGCATGCGACTGAATAGTGAAGTATCATACATCCCGTGGAAAAACATAATAAAGAGGGATTGAAGTACGGACACCCCAGAAAATGAAAAGTTATAAAATTTTAAGGAAATAAAATAAATCACAACCGTGGACCCATACTCCAAATAACACTTTTCTAACTACTCCTACCTCCTCTGATTTTTTTTATTCCAGATTTTGGCAAATTTCTCCGTCAAATAAACATCTAGTCTGACATGAGGCAGTGTAAATCAGACCCCACTACCCGAACTATTCCTCTGTCTTGAAATGCATACCATATAGAATGCAAAAGCCAGAGAGGGTTCATAATATTATCTGGAGAGATAGACAGGACTAGTGTCTTTCATAAAAAATACTGATCGGGCACAAAATTATGCTCGGCTCTGGATACTAAATATTTTTCCAAATTTGTACCCAAACAGCACAAAAAAATTATATTAAAGAATTCTAGGACCTCCATTTGCTACTCCCGTACATTTGTTTGACATGTGCACAAAGTACACTGGACAGATCTGCTACCAAAAATTGCAGAATTAGTTTTTGATGGTTTTATTTTCAGCCAAGTAGTGGCAAAATCAACTGTTTGGGGTTATGTTGTATTGTATAAACAGGAAAATGATTATGTTCATTCATTGATACGCCTTATTCAATGGGTGACAGAGTCCATTTTGTCAGACCAACGATTTGCAGAAACTACAGATTTGCAGCTACTGAAGACTGTACAGCGGAAAAAAGATGCTTTTAAACATTAGGAAATCCATTTCTTCTTCCGGCATATTCAGAGGTTCGCACACACTAAGAATTCCATAATATAGGTTACGCGTGTATATAAAGCTCATGAATTATAAAAAGAAGGAAAAGATAAGAGTAAAACTATGTTGATATTATATTTTGCATATCAAAATACCGGTATCTTAGAAAAAAAGTAAATGAATAGAATGAGATTTGGTATAGACTACCCTTGATAAGTCTTATATGAATTATTCTTGCATTGGTTGATATGAAACATTGAATATATCTTGAAAAATTTTAGGGGGGATATTCTGAGTTGAAAAATAATGAAGATGGGGGTATTAGGCGTGTGATCTGCAGGAATGATTTGTAGGAAAGGTTTATGGTTTAAATATCCATGATTTTGTTGGCTGAGTAAAGCTGGGTAGATTTTAAAAACAGACATAGGTTTTTTGTCATTTAGTTTGAAATACCTTGCCAGACTGTAATACTAGTATTTGTGACTGATTCTTTTAAAAGGTACAATGACAGAATAATACATAAAAAAAAATAAACACATATAAGATAAAAGGCAAAAATGATAAGAGTACATGTACATCAAATTGAAATTCTGGGAAGGTTTCACACGAAAAATTGCCCGACGTACGTATGAACAGATTTCATTTCTGAGTTCCTCTGTTCTCACACGTTAATCTATTGAGCTCGCTCGCTCGCTACAAGTTTAAATAAAATAAAATTCAAAATCAAAATGGTTTACATTCATCATGTATATCTACACTCAATCCATAGTTTTATTGTTTTAAGCTGAAATACCAGATAAAGCTTTGAGAGTTATCCTCGATGGATGAAGAGCAGGAATGCTTATACAACGTGCAAGTTCATGTATATTTTATAGAAAAAACATTTGCATCTCGATTCGATTATTCGTTGGTAAGCATAACAAAACAAACACTTTTCCAACTGATATCAGTAAATAATCGTACCAGTATATCTATCTTAGCTATTGTAGTCTAAACTGCTAAAACTGGCGCTTAAAATGTTCTTGTGTTAAACTCAGAATATCCCCTCTTAAAATTTTAAATCCTCCCCTCATAAAATGTCCAATACTAAACCGAAAGTTAAACTTCCGGGGGTATTTCAAAGGGACGGGTCAGAGGACAAAAGAAAGCAATAATATAAGCAAGAAATAATCAGAAAAAATTGCTGATTGAAGTGAGTTACATCTGCTTTTATTACATTCGACTTACTATTATCCATTTAATGTTACGTTGTTCACTCACCATTATCAAAGTTCCAATTAATTTGGGTGTTGACTAATTTGTATTTCTATGATTTACAAATATAAGGCACCAATTTTTTCAAATTATGAATGGAACTGGTAAAGAGATGTACAATACAACGAATCCCTCTTTTCTTGTTTCCATTCAATTTTTCAGTATCAAATCAATCTCTCATTTAGCTGGGTTTTTTTGCAGGACGGATCACAGTTATTGTAGAAATATGTATGCTAGAAAGTTCTACTTGTTCATGTTAACAACATTTTGCTAAACTTCAACCCATTTCACAGTATGATGAATTTGAATATATTTTCATGGGCTCCTTATAAAATATTGAATCAGCTGTATTTGAGACACAATATTCAAGAAATATCTGTTATTGTTTTTGGTACTATATCTTTACATCATTCCATAATTTTTTTTAGGACTTTGCATCCCTTAAAACGACATTTTTCTAACATAGAAAATTTATGATTCGAAACTAAGAAAGTAACACATGTGTTAGCTAATTAGATTTTATAATTTCATGAATGAGTCTATTATTGTTTATTTAAAAAGCCAAACTTATTTTATTTATCCGAACATTGATAATGTAGTCAGTCTGAACCAACAATTTTTTTATGCATTTATTTACAGATTTTTTTTTATATTACTTGCGCTTGTTCAAATCTGGTACATTGTTAAAATTATAGATACTGTAAGTCGCTTTAATTCCACGGTGTTATATATAATTTTATGATTTCTCAAAAAGTACCAATCGCAATGATTTTAATTTCACGCTGCGAGAAATCAATTTGAATTTTGAATAAGCATTTAAACTTTTTAAAAAACTAATGATAGTATTCACGATGGGTTTAATTTCGCGGAAAAATGATGAATCGCGAACATAATGAAGCTAAAACCATCGTGATTATTTGCCAATATACAGTATTGTGAAAAGTAAATGTAAATTATCGACATTTGCAAAAATTTGTTAGTAAAAATGACTGTTTATACTAAGGTAGGGCATATTGATGGGGCCGGGGGTCAATAAAATTCTTAGAAAGAGAAATTGACCAAAAACATTAATACAAATAAATATAAAACCAACAGATCAACTTTTTCTTTTACAGGAGGAAGATGACGTCTTCGTCCACTTGGGCACAGGACGTAATCACGTGTGATCTTTGTGACAACCCCACCCAGCAGTTCTGTAACAACTGTCAAGTCAGTTTATGTGGGACCTGTATTAATAAACATGTATAGAGTCTGAAGTCTCAAACACATGACATTGTTCCTTTTAAAGATAGAAGAGAACGTCTCGTATTCTCCTCATGTGCTTCTCATCCAAACCAGAAATGTGAGGGACATTGCCAACAGTGTGACGTCCCTGTCTGCTTCAGATGTCTCACAGGTCCACACAGCGGCCATACTGTCAAAGATATGTCAGAGATTGTACAACAGATGAAAGAAGAAATCAAAAAAGAAACCGAGGAAATTGAGAAGTTTATTTCAAGATTCGCCCTAACAGGAGCAGACATTGATCAGAAGATATCTAACTTGACTGAAAAATTTAAAACAATGGAGAGAGAAGGAGAAAATCTGAGAAAATCCTGGCATGAAGAAGTAGACAGCATTTTCGACACACTACAATCAACCATTAGTAAAATGAAGGATAGAAGACTCACAACTCTCAGATCACACCAGTCCAGGCTTCAGGATTCGGGGACAAAATTAGCACGGATAACAAAGGAAAACAAGAAAATCCTGAAGTCCAATAAAGTGTCTGATGTCACAAGCTACAAATCAGAACTAAAAGAATTCAGAGACATTCCTACAGATGTTGATGTGAAAATACCTTCCCTAAATAGCAACACAGTCCAGGGGAGAGAACTCAGCATAGAATTAGAAGAATTCAAGGCTACACTGACACAGATATCACTATCCAGTCTAACAGATGAAGTCTCCATTTTATCTGTGAGAAAATTATTAGAGAAAGCTAAAGTTATTGCTAGCATTCCTTCTGGAATAAAGCCTCTTGGTGCCCTTGTCTGTACCGGAACCAATGAAACTTGGGCTTATGGTGGAGACAAATTCATAAGATGTATTGACATAAAGGGATCTTTGAAGGAGAAGATCACCACCGAATGTGAACCTTATCCAGGTGACATTTCAGTGACCAGGCAGGGAGAACTAATATACAGTGATTCTAACAGCAGAACAGTGAACATTGTCAGACGGGGGAGGACAGAGACACTGATCACTTTACCCAAGGGATGGCATCCATTAGGATTGTGCTGCACCAGATCAGGGGACTTACTAGTTAGTATGTGTATCCATGATAGAAGTCATCACAAAATAGTCCGATTTCAGAGACAAACGGCAATACAAGAAATATATAAAAATGACCGTGGACAAAATGTATTTCAAGGTGGAAAAGCTGGAGTTTGTGTTGAAGAGAATAACAATGGGGACATTTGTGCCTCTGATTTGGGTGCCGATACAGTAATAGTGATGGACAAGACAGGAAAAGTTCGATTCCGTTATGACGGAACACCAGCCAGAAGGAATAATCCATTCCATCCTCAAATCATTGCTACAGACTCACTGAGCCAGATCATTATAACTGATTTTAATAATGACTGTCTTCATATCTTAGATCAGAAAGGACAGTTTCTGAGATGTATTGACAATTGTGGACTTCTGAGTCCTGGTGGACTGAGTGTGGACAGTGAGGGGAGGTTGTGGGTAGGGTGTTGTTTTTCAGGTGATATAAAAGTCATCCAGTACATGGAGTAAAGATTCACCCATTGTTATACAAGACTGTTTAGATACAAGTGCTACTTTGTAAAGAAGGTTGGCATGAGAATGGCCTACAGCTTTAAACTTATAAAAACAAAACTGAATTAACGAACAAGTATTTATATAGTATTTAAATATGGTATTTTAAAAAAAGTTCTTGATACTATTAAAAAATATGAACTTATAACACACTTTTGAAGGATACTTTCCTCTTCAAATATTGACGGACTTTAAAACACCCTATTCAATTTTTTTGATTATAATTATTTTTCAAAAAATATTGAAAACTTTTTTTGCAATCTTCGTTCACCATATATAGTGCTGGTTTTTAAATTCCACTACCCGACTTACCTGTGCTAGTTGTTTGCACGATGTAAGTAGTATTGCACGAGATAATCGGGCCTTTTTGAAAACATATGGAAGAGTAAAAACGGGGTTTTGTCGTGATCAACCAACTTTGTCGATGAAATGTATAGTCACCACAGAAGAAATTGAAATAAAGACTATACCACGGTTAAATAATGAAATGTGAAATCGAGCACTCGGTCTGCTGCAAGCAGGCGTTAGTCAGCGGGAGGTATCAAGGCGCTTACAATTAGCCGGTTACTACATCGATTTCATCAGACAGGATCAATAAATGATCGTCCAAGACCAGGCCAACCGTTTGTGACAACACCACGTCAACAGGCATACATACGCCAACGTCATATGCGAAAACGTTTTACGACAGCTGCGACCACGGCGAGGGAAATTATTGGACGTCATGAGCGGCCTATACATCCTAGAATAATTTCTAGAATATTAAAACGCCATGGGATTAGGTGCAGAATACCTTACAAAGGGCCACAACTAAAGCAGCATCACCGAGGTAACAGATTGCTATGGGCCAGGCAGAATCTGATCACCGCCGGAATTGGACACAGGTTATATTTTCGATTAGTTTAATGTAAGCAATGTAGACGGCAGATGTCGAGTTTACCATCGTTTACATAAACGTTTTGTGGACAATTGTGTACTTGAACGGGACAGATTTGGAGGGGTGGCGTCATGGTCTGTGGTGCGATAAACCATCATTTTCGTTTACCACAGGTAATTTTGAACGGAACTCTCACTGCCAGGAGGTACGAAGACGAAAATCTTCAGTCTGATAATGCGCGAGCACATACGCAAGAATAACGAAAAATTTTCTGCAAACGAATGGCATCAACGTCCTTGATTGGCCCGCTTTGTCTCCAGACTTAAATCCGATTGAGCATTTGTGGGACGAGCTTGGGAGACGTGTGCGCAGACGCCAGCTTCAGCCTCAGAACCCACAGGAACTTGAGTGAGCCTTGCTTGAGGAGTGGCAGAATATTCCTCAAAGGACTATTCGTAGTGTCTGCCAGTCAATGACACGTCGCCATCGCGCCGTAATCCTTGCCAATGGAAGCCATACTTCTACTCTAAATCCATTAGGTACTTTCAAATGAAAGTACAATAAACAACAAACACACCATTTGGACATAACAACGACACGCAGAGCTTTCTTTGTACAGTGTACATAACATATGCAAAATATGAAAATCAATTTGTATATACATGTTTATGTTGTATTGAATAAAACATGATAAAATTTAAACTTTATCGTGCTCTACGTGTCGTCCTAAACTGGTATCTAAACCACTATTTACCTCTTATATAGCCTTGCTAACGAGACCGGTTCTAAAGAACCACGTGATATTCACCAGGTATTCGAATGAAGACCTTGTAATTCCGAAAAAGTTATTCATTATCACACCAAGTAGAAATTGATTTCTGTCTAATTCGTTCCTCAAACGAAAGAATTCATATTTCTACTCTAAATCCATTCATTACTTTCAAATGAAAGTACAATAAACAACAAACACGCCATTTGGACATAGCAACGACACGCAGTAGCTCTAAATACAAAGAACGGGAAAATGAAAGTATTAAATTCTTGATTTTAAATGCAATCCAACAAAATTCATTTAAATCATATCAAAGTCAATCAATATTTTAAACACAATAAATCCAACAAATTTTACAGAATTTTTCCAATAAAATGTTTTGAAAACAATTAAATAATCACCAAAGAAATACATATACATGTATATCAATCCTAAACAAATTCAATACACCATGTGAGTCTGATCGTAAAAGTTTTGATGTTATGCACACATTCTATCCACGCATCGATAAATGTTTCATGCACTTGAGTTTTGAGTATAGTTTCAAGTCAAATTCAACGCATACCATACGATTTATCGTGAAGTCCCAGGGAAGAAGACTTCAAATATATGAAATGATTTTGACACAGTTATACATAGAAGTATATTCATTATCCAATATCAAAATAACACAAAATACACATTCCTGTGAAATATCTTGAATCCCATCTCAATTCCTTGTATATGTGCCTCTTTGAAACTCCGTCATTATTGGTACACAGATTAATACCTCATGGTGCTTGAATTAAACGTAAGAAGACGATAACCAATAATACCTGGAAGAACGAATTTGATGTTAGAAAACTGATAGATACATGTTTCTTTTAACTCTGAAATCAAAATCATCACCATTGTGGCTAGCAAATCCTGCATATTATCATTAAATGATAAATGAATCAAAATCCCACCATTAAATTCAAAATTTATTAAATTAAGAAAAATATAAATGTCATTTTTGGAAAATAATACCATTCATCTCTTATCTAACTAAATACATACAAGTATTTCTTTAACTCTTGCAAAATAGCAATACCACAAATATACTTGGATAAACATCCATAAAATAATTTTATGATAAAATTAAATATATCAAAATTATTTAAAACAAAATATTCAAACTAAAAGAGCATATTATTGTTCAAAAATACTTTAAAAATTAAAATAAACTTCATAAATTAAAATAAAGTTCAATTATTGAGAATCAAGAACGCCTCTTTTTTCCCGAAATCATTCTCTTCAAATGGCAACAACATAAATGTGTTTGTATAAACATCCATTTGATAAACAAGTTATGATAAAGTGGATTTAAAAGAGAAAAAAATATCATTTTTTTAAACTAGAAATACCATCTGACTTCATGTAAGAGGGTTGTTCGAAAAGTTCGTGGACAACTCTCATGTCTTTTTTATTTGACGTCATATGTTATCCAAATTTGGTGCGATTTATTCAAAACTTATCCAGATTTTTAAAATTCGAAAATCGGATCGCGGAGCAGGTCCAAATTTAGTGAGATACAGACAATACACTATATAATGTCTGTAGCCAACCCCTCTGTAAAATAGATCAAAAACGAAATACAACCTAGAAATTCAAATTAAGAATTGTTATAATGATTGGTATTACCAAATTATGGCTTTATATTTTGCTTTGTTGAAAATACATCAACTTGAGAAGATAGGTAGTCCTTATTGAAAACAACGAAAATGATGACGTTTTAGAACATCACGGAGTAGCAGATAACGATGCAATTTTGTGTGTTACTCAGGAAAAAACCTGAATAAACTCTAAAAATGGAGCAATCAAGAAAATATGACACAAGCGAGTTGTGCATGTATATGCAAATATTACCGGCAGTATTTTAGTGACAGGGACTCGGATGAGGACAATCTGGGAAGCTACGTTTAACTGTAAATATCTGAACAAAAATTTTAAAAGTTGGAACGTCAAGGAAAGGCATAGGCGCTTCACAGTTGCTTATCCTGTGAAAGCTGAGTTAAGTAATAAAGAAATTAAAACTTTAACAAAGGAAATTATACAACGAAAGCAATTATTAAGAAAATAACTGTCAAGTATTAGAAAAGGGATTTAATTAGTGGGCATTGGATTATACAGTGTACTGTGTGAAATGTAAAGGGATAGTATTTTTTAGAAATTCTTGACGCTATGTTTTGACGTTACATTGCCGTTAAGTGTGCTCCGCGGGTACAAAACATGTTGATTTTAAAATGAAGTAAATTGATTTCTGTTAAATCGAATGGAATGAAACTTCACACATCAACAAAACAAATATTTTTACATATTATATTGTGCTTATTTTAAATTTCTAGTGAGTAATATAACGAAGATTGATCGAACAACTCTCGTATATATAACTTTCTAATAAATCATTCTCGTCTTTTTGAAAAATCACAAATGGATTTGAAAAAAAAAAACAACCATACAATCATACTATGATCTAATATGAAATATTAATTTATCAAGTCTGTTCAAATTTAAATCAAATTCAAACAATCTCACCAAATGGCATCAAAACAAATATGGTTAGATAAACATCCATAAAATCATTCTATGATATAATTTATCAAAAAATTCAAATTCTAATCAAATTTTACTGTATTTTCATTAGAATTATCAACCTTTACTTTACTTTCTATACAAACAAATCTCGCCAAATGGCATCACCACAAAAGTGGTTGGATACAAATCCATACATTCATATTATGATATAATTTATCAAAAAGTTCAAATTCCAATCAAATTTTACTTTATTTTCATCAGAATTATCAACCTTTACTTTACTACTTATGAAGAAATACTTTCTATACAAACAAATCTCGCCAAAGACATCGCCACAATGTGGTTGGATACAAATCCATACATTCATATTAGGATATAATTTATCAAAAAGTTAAATTCTACTTTATTTTCATCAGAATAATCAACTTTTACTTTACTTCATATGTAGAAATACTTTCTACAAAGACCAATCTCGCCAAATGGCATCACCACAAAAGGGTTCGAAAAACATCCATAAATTTATACTATGTGATAAATTTATGAAAATACTTCAAGTTCCAATCAAATTTTACTTTGCTTTCATAAAAATTATCAACTTTTACTTTACTATATGCTAAGAAACACTTTCTACAGAAGCCAATCTTACTAAATGGCATCATCACAAATGTGGTTGGATAAACATCCATAAATTCATACTGATTTGAACCCACTTTCTACTTTAACCAACTCGTAAAATGGCAACACCACGAATGT